TCACTTTAATGTCTGGGCACGCAGCAAATTAGTGTATCGATGCGGGCTGATGGAAATTTATTTATTGGACATTATTCTACTTTCTTAAATAAAGAGGTGAATATTAAAAAAAAAAATTGATATTTACGTACAAATAAATTTTTAATGCTTATTTTTTCAGCCTAATGAAGCTTTTGCTCGCTTCATAAAACAATATGGTGGAGTTTTTCGGTATCATGGATTAATGAACCAAGCTTTTCTATTGATTTCCGATCCAAAACTTGTACAGCAAATACTAGTGAATCGTTCATATGATTACCACAAGTTTTTTAACAGAGCCATAGCTAAAGATTTTTTGGGAAATGGAATTTTGCTTGCTGAAGGAGATTCTCATAAACGACAAAGAAAAATGATGAATCCTGCATTTACATTTACAAATATTAAGGTAATAATAATACATTTAATAAAATTATGATATAATTTATCAATTTATTTTTATATAATTGAATAATTTTATAATTGTAAATCGATTATATAAATAGGAAATGGTACCAACAATTGTTCGCGTGGCACATCAGTCAAAAGAAATTTGGAAAAGTCAAATTAATGATAATAAAGAAACCAAGTTGATAATTTCGACATTTTTATCAAAAGTGACTTTAGATATTATTGGATTAGTTGGTAGGTTGATTAATAAAATCATTCACATTTCTGATTTTTTAAATTAGATATTTATAATTAATTATTTATATTATTTTTATAGGATTTAAATATGAATTCAATAACATTACATCAGAGAATGAAGTAGCAAGTGCTTATACACGACTTTTTCATCATAAAAGAACAGCCTTTAATGTGGCTGTTTCGTTATTAGTAAATTACATCCCATGGATTAGAAAACTTCCATTACCAAGAAATCGTGAAATACGTAGATGCATTAAAATTATTGAAAAAGCATCTTTAAAATTAGTAGAAGAAAGGCGAGAATTTATTAGAAAAGGGAAACCTATAGGCAAAGATTTATTATCATTATTAATTACTATAAACGAAAATTTACCTGAAGTGGAAAAAATGTCTGATAAAGAATTACAATATCAAGTAAGAAGTAATATTATAAATCATTATTTTATTAATATATTCTTACATTAAATAATTTAAATATATAAATATATATATTAGATTATGACATTTTTAACAGCGGGACACGAAACCACAAGTTCTGCAGCTTCTTGGTCATTATATTTACTTGCTCAACATCCCGAAATTCAAAATCGTCTTCGTAAAGAGCTAATCGAAGCATTTCCTGATCCCAATTTTGAGCCAACATTTGATGAAATTAATTCTTTGGAATATTTAGATTGTGTTGTTAAGGAATCTATGAGAATTATTCCTCCAGGTAATATAGAGATATCAATATTTTAAGTAAAAAAATAAATAAAATAAATAATAATAATAATAATAATATAATAATATGTACAATTATCTCTTTAAAAGTTCCGATAATCATTCGTACACCTGCAAAAGACGATATCTTACAAAATTATTTGGTTCCAAAGGTATCAAAATATTTATAAAAATATTTAAATTTTTATACTCCGCAAAATCAAATTCAAAGTTTGAATTTCAATATTTGAATTTCAAATTTTTTAATCCCCTTTCAAAATTTTAATCTTTACGCGTAAAAGTTGGAGTGGGTAAATCTGTGTTACTCGTGGGTGGGCGGGTTACCTGAGTTACTCATGAGTGAGTGGGTTACCTGAGCTACTCATGTGTGTGAGCGGGTTATCTGAGATACTCAAAGGTGAGCGGGTTACCTGTGGGTGGGCGGGTTACCTGTGGGTGGGCGGGTTACTTGGGTTACTCGTGGTGAGCGGGTTATCTGAGTTGAGTTGTAGCAACCCAAATGAGCCGGTCCACAGGTCAACCCATGAGTTAATTCTAAAATTAACCTGTAGGTTTATTCACGAGTAACCTAAGGGTTGATCTGTGGGATGGCTCATTTTGGTTGCTACAACTCAACTCAGATAACCTGCACACTCGCGAGTGACTCGCCCACCTATGAGTATCTCAGATAACCCGCTTACCCATGAGTAACTCAGGTAACTCACCCACTCACGAGTAACCTAGGTTGATTTACTCAGGTCCAACTTCTACACGTAGGGATTAAAATTTAAAAAATTTGAAAATCAAATCAAATCAAATATTTATTTGAAATTCAAACTTGAATTTGATTTTGCAGAGCTGTTTCCGCATTTTATACAAATAAATACAAATAAATAATGCATTTATACTTTATTAGAATACTCCCATAATAATACCGATAGCGGCAATCCACAAACTTCCTGAAATCTGGGGATCAGATGCCGATAAATTTATACCAGAAAGATGGCAAACTTCAGATTTAATGTCAAAAGTTAATAATTATACGTATATGCCATTTATTACAGGTTCTAGATCTTGTATAGGAAATAAATTGGCTCTTACAGAATTTAAAATTTTGTTAGCAGTATATATTAGAAATTTCAAATTTAGAAAAATTGAAGGGTTTGAAGTTAGAAAGAGACAAATGATCGCTACAAGACCTTATCCTGCTATTGAATTATTGGTCTCTAAAGTTGAAGAGTAGAATTAAGAGATGATATAATTGAATATTTATATCATACTTTTTTACCCAAATTATATGAGCATGAGAGATAGTTTATCAATCTATCTGTTTATTAATCTTATTTAAAAATATTACTAATTCCATTTTCATTCATCACATGAAAATAGTATAGGAAATTCACTCTATTAATAGTTATAAAACTGTTTTAGAGTTATAAATTATTTCTATAACTATTTTTTTTTTTTTTTTTTTTTTTAAATTACAATTGATTCACTGATCGTTCTTTATCCATCTCCATGACTTCATTAACGTTAGTCTTACATTCCATTAATATCCATCTAATAATATCCACATTAAATTCAAATATTTCACTTTCATCTTGATTTTTCAGCCACACGAAGGCTTCTTGAGCATCAATATGTTCTAATTGTTTTATTAATTCTTCTATTTGATTTTTTTCTTTAATATAACGTGAATTTACAAAAAGGATGGAAGTTTTCCACTTTGATGTTGTCATTATTTTAAGAGATCGACGAAAAGATAAAAGTGCTATTTGTGTGATAAAAGTATTTGTAATTGTTGATTGTGATGATGATGATGATATTTTTTGAAAATAATAAGAAAGTAATGTATTTCCTATTTCTTTCCATGTATTATAATCATTCTTTCGCATTTGGTCATATTTTATATAGCAATTTATGGAATCTGAATATGTGTAAATTAATTAATTAATTAAATTTCAAATAAATATTTATATAACTTAAATTTGAAATTAAATTATTCACCTGAAAAACGGCCTCCTTTAGCATAAATCTGTCCTTTAAAACTCATATGTCCAGGTTCATTAGATGACTGATGAGATAAGATTTAGTAAAAAAAATTTTTTTAATAACGATAAGAATGAAAACTTTTTCAAAAAAATATATATATATATACCAATTTGTCAACGCATTTTACTGCAAGTTCGAAATCACCCAATTTTGAAGCACTACGAGCAGCGATTTCCAACATATCACGCGTACTAGTCAATCTATTCGGATTTAATTCATTATTCTCTTTATTATTACAACCTTCAACAAAATCAATATATTCTAGTGATAATTTTAATGCTTCTTTATAATTTTTATGAAAATAATAATATTCTATTGATTGCTTTAATCGATTTGGACCAAGTTTTTGTGTGAGTAATTGATTAGTTTGTATTGATGTAAGAAACCATCCATCATAATCATATTTTAGTGTACTACAAGTTTTTTTAATAGATATTTCATTCGTTAAATCATTATTTTGATTATTAGATGTATAATTATCAATCTCTTCTTGTTCTTTATTTTCGAAATTAAAATTAAATATTTCTGAAAGGTCAATATTATCATTTTCTTTATTTGTTGACATTTTATATAACGAACGAGAGAATATTGTGTTTAAATTAAAAATTTTCGGATTCAAATTTTCTTATTGGTCAAAAAAAAAAAAATTTGATATTACTGGATTTCCTAATTTATCATGTAACATACAGTAATATCGATATAATCTTTGATAAAAAATAATAATTATATAAATTATATAGCGATAATTAAACAGAATATATGATTTATATAGTTTCGGAGATATTCTTTTTTTCCCATGGCTTAGGACGCGGTTTTATTGTAGCACTAGAAGGAATGCCACTATTAATCTCATCAGGTATTTCCTTGATTCCTATGATTGATAATAATGATAAGTATAAATTTTATAAAAATCTGTTAAATATTAAATATTCATTATTACCTGGTATTGGCTTATTAGAACGTATCATTTCTACTAACTCTTGAAAACTTCTAGAATATTTCGGTGCTTCTACTGTTCAAAAATTATTATTTAAAGAAAAGAAATAAAGTTCTTGAATTGTCCATTGAGACTTACCATTTGTTGTAGTATCTTGTTTTGTTAAATTTATGTTATTAGATGACTCAAGTGTAGAAGATTTATTTAACTTCCATGCTAGATATTCATTATAATCGAACTTTTGAACAACTCTAATATTTTTGATCCCATAGTGAATTAAATTACTTTTTTTCGTTTATGTAAAATAATTATTTTAAGATAAAACACTTTTTTAAAAAAAATACATTTTATTACTTTGAAAAATAAAACCATTTAGCTTTCTCTTTAAGTTTATCTAATTCTTCCTGTGATTTATTTTGATTCGATTCAAGAATTGATGGAAGGCCAGCCTTAATAGGAATATTTTATTAGATAATAAATTCTCATTCGTAAAAACTTTTTTTTTTTTGGATATAATGTATCAATAAAATAATTTACCTGAAAATTTTCATCTTTATCAAAATCATATTGTTCAAATTTTATGAAAATTGTTTGATCGGTATTTGTAGAAGTCATTAAAAAAATCATTCTAATGAAATTTACTCAAAATTAATTTACGTCATTGCATACGGAATTGTACTACATTAATCACATGTTTAAAATTAGGAATCGATGAATAAATTACCAATCAATCAATCGAGGATCGAGCATTCACCGGAAGTCATTATACGTATAAGAAAATTTTAGTTTTAGTATTATACGAATAATTATGTACTTATATATAAGTGCTGAAAGTGCTACATAGCATAACAATATACAAGATGTAAATAATTAGAAAATAAAAGGTTTACTGTATAAAGTTGTCAGATTTAACTAGGTAAATTTTTCCACACACACGAAAATCAATTAACTTTGTATAGTACAGTACAAGTCACTCTCGTTATAGTGAACTTTCGATCTCGATATAGTGAAATTATTCCAAAATTTATCTATATAAAATTTTCTCGATATAGTGAATTTCTCTTGTTAGGCCATACAAAGTTAATTGTTTCTCATAACATGTGAATTTAAAAATGACCGGCTTTAATTTTTTAATTAAATGTTTGGTATCCAGAAAATATTAATAATTTTTAGAAAAAACCCACCAGGAAGTATTCATATATCAATAATTTATAAAATTTTTTTTTCGAAAATTTACAAAAGCTGACCCGACCGGGTTATGAGAAACAACTAATTAACTTTATATAAACTTATAGTGAATTTTTAAAAAATTTTTATTAACGTTAATGGAACGGATCACTTCACTATAACGAGAGTGACTTGTATTACCTCGGAAAAAAAATCATAAAAAACCTGTATTTAAAGTAAATTTTGCATTTAAAATATATAACTCTATCGCTATGACGTGACTTAATGAGAATTTTAATAAAACCTACACTTCGGGGCCGTTCTCTTAACAATTTAAAAATTTTATAAATCACGGGGATGACTATGATTAAGCTAATCTTAGACATAAGTATACGTATAGGTTTATGCTATTTGGTTGTACAAAATTCGACTTTTCTAAGGCGAATCAATAGCACTACAAATCAAGATAGTAATTTCTACTAGAATGATCAAAGCCTCCTAGATAAAATATATTTTAGAATCGTAGTTTTCAGTAGACAAAATTGTTTACTGTCAATAAAATAATAATATCAAAAAAAAACTTTTAAACAAATCTTAACTTTGGACCAAAGTGATTCAAACTCAGGGGGACCAATAACTAATATGAATGGGTCACCAGTTAACAACTTAGAAAAGCCTAATAACGCCAATCTCTCGGCTAGGCCTACAGGTTCACCGAAGCCACCTAATAAACTAAATACAAATAATAATCCATTTTTAAAGAAACCAGTTCCAGCACATCTTATTGGAAATTTACCTAAGCACATGAGAGCGAAAGCTATGGCTGCTTTACCACCATCTTTACCAAAAAGCAATTTAATATTAAAAAAGGAATATACTATTACTTCTTCTACTTTAAATAAAATTAAAAAGTTAAATATAATGAGATTTCATAGTAGTCAACCTGTAGATATAACAAAATTTACTGTTCCAGTGAAACTTCAAAGGCGTGATCCTGATGCTCCACAACAAAATTTGATATTAAGTCGTCAAAATCAAATTATTTCTAATACTCCTAAAGTAGTACAACAAATTTCAACTCCTTCTACACCTACAAGTGGAGCTGATGCTTCTCTTATTGCTCCTTATGCTGGTGCAAGGCATAATAAAAAAAATCTTTTTAAAAAAAAAACTACTCAAATATTTTTGGCTGATGATAGTCAAAGGAAACTTAAAGCTGAAGAGAAATTACCATGGGTATTAGAAGATTATGAAGGTGTTACGTGGATTGGTGAATATGAGGGTGGTGATAGCGCAAAGTATGGTGTCTTTTTATTAAAGGTTATTATTTATTTTATCTTTATTTATTATTATTAAACCAATTATGTGATCTTCTTGAAGTTTTTTTTCATTAAATCTAATATGAACAAGTTAATTATAGGGTGATAAATTAGAATTTGTTGAAATTCATCGATTTTACACTTTTAACCGTAAATTGAATTATAAAACACTCACAATTGAAGAGGCAGAAGAACAGGTAAAAGTTTTTAAACTAAACTAAAAAAAAAAAAAAAACAAATAAGAAATTTTGTTCATATTCAGTTAATTAGATAAGGTTGATAGTTACACAAAATCAAAAAATTTTCACTTATTCTTGTTATACTATCAGATGGCGAAAGCTAAAAAAAGAGATAATGATAGATGGATGATGAGATCATGGGGTAAAACTAAAAATGGTGATGATTTAGCTGTAGTAGAAGGTGGAATATTCGATCCAAAATCTACTATAAAAGTAGTTGAAGGTGAGGAAGAATTGATCGGATCAGATGAAGAATCAAGAATTCCTTCTAGAGAGGAATATGATGAAGAAGAGATGGATTTCGAAGAAGTCTTTGAGGATGATGAAGAAGAATTACCTGATGATGCAAATCCCCTTATTGATGACGAAACTAAGGAGGTTAGCAAGATGAAAAGAAAAGTAACTAGTAAACACACCTATGAACTTAACGAATCGGATGATGATGATAAATTGACGAATGAAGGAAAGCAACTCAAAAAATTACTCAGAACTGCTGAAAATAACGACGCCTATGATAGTGATCATGAAGATAATCCATATTTCACGGAAAGTGAAGATTCTGAAACTGAAGAACCGTCATCACCTAAACCTCCAGCTGCAACATCAACCACAAAACCTGAGAAACCAAAACCTCCTTCTAAACCAAAAGTAGCAAAAGATAAACTTACACCTTCTAAACAAAAAGTGCTAGGAAAGAACAAATCAACCACAGCATTAAAACAAAAACCTCCTGTCAGTAAACCTACAATTGAGAATAAGGTTAATACTACGTCTATCAGTGTTTCATCGAGTATTACTTCGACAATTCCATCGAAAATCAAAACAGAAAGACCTAGCAGTCCGATAATTGAAGGTTCTGCCACACAAAAGACTAAACCTTCTGTTTCCGCAAATAATTTGCCTCCAAAATCTAAACCAGTAAAAAAAGTTGGAGTTCCTGTGAGCGATTCGAAGCAAGTAATCAATAAAGTAACAGTCAAAAAACCAGTTGCACCTAGTCAAGTCACACCACTAAATCGTCCTCGTCCTGCCGAGTCTGATTCTAAAATGACTACTGTAAAACGTCCGAGAACCTTAGATACGACAGAACAATCCGCCAATGATCCTGCAGCCAAACGTGTTAAGACTACAGACACTAAAATTAACAAGTCTCATGCATCTGCTGATACTGAATCAAGTAGTATAACAAATAGCATCACAAAGCGTCTAAGGCAGGATGAACCTGTGAACAGTAATCCAGCAGCCAAAGTTTCAGTTATCCAGAATGTAAAACGAATACGTCCTTCCGATACTAAAGGTCCTTCCGACACTAAAACAAGTGTAGTTACTAAAACTAAAACAGCTCAAAACACGTCAACTTCTACGAGTCGTACAACAAAGCCGAGTTCTTCTACTAATGTAGGTAGCGACTCACGATTAATTTCAGAAGGAGAAATCAAGAAACTTATTGAAACCAAGCAAGTAAAGGTTGCAGATGTTATTAAAGCCTTCAAAAAAAGGATCAACGAGGATTCGCGCAATAAAGATCGACTTCTTAACATCACAAAGAAAATTGCTTATTATAAAGATGGGTATCTTGTTTTAAAACCACAATAAATAAAAATGTTGGGATGATGGTAAATCTTTATATTCTTAAAAATGATGTAAATTTCTATTACTGGTTGAAAATTTAATAATTACATTCATAAAAACATTGTCTATTAATAATACATTACACAAAATGTCTCATTTGTTATTGTTATTTAATACTATATAAATTTATAGTAATAAAATTACTGGTATACAGTAAATCTAGTTCTTTTTAGAAAAATTGTCACCTAAGTTTTTAAAATCATTACCAGTCTTTACAAAATTTATGATATAAAAATCTTTCTAACATTGCCCAAAAATCACTTATGTATCTGAATTAAAATTAGTAATGATAATCAGAGCACAAAACCTATTATAAAATGTTGGTTTAATTAAAATTTTTCCGGTTAAAATAAACACCGCAGCTTTCAGCACTCGGAAATTTTATGATTCATATAACTATTGTAGTGATATTAAACGTCATTACAAATCAAAAGTATTTTTTATGCGACTCAATATAAACGCAACCAATCATTGTCTAATATTGGGAAATCAACTACGTATCAGCTATCACTATAAATCAACTAATAGTATATCAGGTGAAGACGTTACCGTTGATCTAATCGATTCACATTATTATCTGAACCATGATTAGGAATGGCAAATTCGATAAGCCGATGTTTGATAAGCCGAAGACTAACGCTAAGTAAAAACGATAAACCAAGAACATTTATAGTAAATAAGCCGAATTTACTAATTTTAAAAATTTTTACTAATCTCCCGGCTTATCAAGTTTGCCTAGTATAATGTAATTTACAGGGTTACAACACCAGAAACGGACAGAGTTTACCGTAAGTTGGGTATAGAGGTCTGAGTAATTATTCAAATTTGTCAACAGTGAGATTTGAACTTCAAACCTCTTGCATAGCGGTCTGGCAACCTAACCACTACATAAAAAGTTCTAATAAGATTTTATATTGTATTATACATGATTATTAATAATATATTATATAGAGTATTCCTTTTTAAAAGAACTTATTTTTACATTTTTTGAAAAATAAGTTTTTATTAGATCCATATAAATTTTAACATGATTAACATTTTTCAATTATAAATAAAAGTTGATTTGCATAATAAAAAATCAAGAAAATATAAAAGAAATATTTAAGGGTAGGGAATATATAGATTATTTTTTATATAAAATTGATTATATATTTTTTTTTTATATAGTGATCAAAATTTTGCTTCTAATAAAACTTTTTTAATTTTAATTAAAATTTATAAATT